TTAAAAATATTTGTTTGCATATTTCACTTAACACTTAGTCAAATATTTTGTTTAATTCTTTACTTATTTTTTGTCTTTCTTAATGGGTTTTAGTAAATGTTACTATTATTGTGTTTATTTATATATCTTTTCTTTTATATTTTTTTTGTTTTTTTTTTTTTGTTCTTTTGAGTTTTGACTTTTGCTATTTTTTTGGTTTGTTGTCTCTGTTTGTTGTATTTTTGCTTTATTTAACTATTGTTTATGGCTAACATTTATTTCTCTTGTTGCTGTTGCTGTTTCTGATTGTAAAAAATTCTGTAAAATATTTTCGGTACTATTTCTCTTGGTTTGTGGCTCTTCTGTTGCAAAAACAACAATTTACTTCATATAAGTATAATATAAATAAATCATTTGATTTGCTTTTACGTTAAATTACTTGTTCTATGGGCACATTGTGTGTATTGCAAAAAGTTTTCCATGGCCTCACGATATTATTCCTTGACTTCTAAGGGCTCTGGGTGAGTATCTCGTACAGATATATAATTATAAATTCAAAAGAGTTTTGCTTGGCGATATTTAGGAACAAGAAATCATTTGTTATTTTGGCAAATTCATCTGGAAACCCAAACCCAAACTAAACTATTTCACAACAAAGGTGTAATTGGGGGGGAATCTTAAAATTTGAAAATAACTTAAGGTATCTGGATGCTAAATACCCGAAATTCAAAGTACATAATTCATTTAAATATTAATCTAATAAATGTATATGCTCTACCATACACTGCAATAAATTCGAGGTAGAATATTAGTAAACGCTTCTCCTCCGCTTCCCATCCTCTGCTATGGCTTTCATTGTTTCATGTTTCATGTATTATATGTTCTATTTATATTCTCAACTCATTTGTGATCTGTACAATTATATGTATGTATGTCTGTATCGTATGTCTATGTTACATTTAAGTAATGAGGAACCATATTTTGATTGTTGCACAAAACTAAAATTACAAATTCAAATTCAAATTCAAATTCAAATCGTTTGATCTAACGAACGAGCACTATTTCAGAAGAAGCCCAGCCCAACTCTGTTCGAATCTGTTAGAGTTGCCAAGTTTAACCATTTTTCAACTTTTTGCAATATTTGCTTGTATAGAAATATTTTCACTGTTTCATTCGTATTCATTAAAAACTAACGAGGCTATTGTTGTTTGTTGTATGTTGATTTTGTTACTTGTTTTTCTTTTCTTTTCTGTTCTTTTCTTATTTTTCATTTAAATAAAAACAGTTTTATTTCGCTTACATCGTCCCTTGCTATTTTACATGTGTTCTGGTTCGTATTTTCTTCAGTACTGTTCTGTATATTTTGCTCTATTTTTGTCCCAATGCTTTTATGATTACGTCAAATATAAGTAGACATATGTATATATATATATATACAAAGTATATATATATATATATATACATATACATTTCGTATATATAGAGAGTATGTATTAAATACGTTAAAAAATATAATACACCATACATATAATATAAGAGTTAAGGTTTTCCATGCACTATATGCTATTTGTTTTCTTTCTTTAGTATATACTGTATACTGTATAGTAAGTATCTAGCGTTATTTATGTATATATTCCATTTTATTCTTATTCTTCTTGTTGTTGTTGTTGTTGTTGTTGTTCTTGTTGTTGTTGATGTTGTTGATATTTGAGAATTCAACTAAGGTTCAAATAAAGTGCATCAAATCAAGTTCTGACTCAATTTGAAATCAAATCAAACAGCTTTTCATGGGGCTTCTTACAACGCTTTGGGGCGTTCTGATAAATCGTTTCATATTATAGATATCCTTTTATTTTTTATTTTATTTATTTTTTTTCATTTATCATATTATTATTATTGTTATTATAATTATTGTTGTTTTTATTAATTTCAGTTAATGCTTACCGTTTCTATTTCAATGTGTATTTATCTATAATTTAAATATTTCTCATACTGTTGCTTGATTTGCTTGGAGTTTTACGTTTGTTTCTTGATTTCTTTGATGCTTTTACGATGGTTGCTCACTTAAAAACTATTATCACTATTGCAGAAAGCGAAAGCGGCTGTACTCAATAATACGAGTGTATCTCCCCATATGGAACGGTATGGCAGTGCATTCAAGAAGTATACCCTATTTTCCTCTCCTTGATACTCTGCTATACCCAGCCATATCATACACTGTAGTTGTTATTTTATTGTTGTTGTTGTTGTTGTTGTTGTTATTGTAGGCATTTACTATGAATTTTGATTTGTTTTTGTTTTTTGCTTTGTTTGTTGTCCAGAATTGTGATAATTGTCGGAAAACATTATCTTAGAATATTATACTGAAACATTTGTTTGTTTTTATCATAATTTTTATGTTAAGGATTGAGTTTTTTGGTTTTTTATTATAATTTCTCGTTTTAATTTTAAGAAGAAAGGATTTTCTCGATTTGTTTTGCTTGTCAAGTCGTTTCGAAAAGCAGCTTTCGAATTTTACTTTTTCGTATCTTAAGTTTTTTGGTTTGCCAAGTTGGTAATTTCTTATATGGTTCTTTTTTAATATCCATGCCTTTGGGTGTATTTGAGTGTGTGTTCAGTGTGTGTGTGTGTGTGTGTGTGTTTGGGTTATATGTGGTTACATATTTGTTTAGTGGATGCTTTATTGAGACTGCAATTAAAATTTCTGCTATAAAAATTACTTGTATTTGTACTCTTGGTTATTTAATTGGGCTATTGTTGGTTGTTAGGTATGCTTGTAACTTTGTGTGTAGAACTCTGATCTATAACTTTAACTATTAATTCAGGGTTCTCTCTATATAAGTATGGTTCGAGGACTGGTTCACCTATATGGCTTAAACTACGTATTTTGTTAGCCCCTTTGTCTGTCCAGGCTGTTTGTCGTGTCTCAAGTTTTATTTTTAAGATATCTTCTCGGTAGACGCGTCTACTCGTCTTCTAGGTTTTGTCATAGCCGGGTTTAACTTCGTTTTGATTTCCTTTTTCTTTTTTTTTGTTTCAATTTGAGCTTTTCATTTTTATTATTTTGTTTTCAACTTCCACTGAAGCAGCAAGTTTTGGAGCTTTCTATGCATTTTTCGCATGATTCCTTCTCTATGAAATTTTGTTTGCAACTACAAAAATAATAATTATCATGGAAACTAAATGGAAATTAAATGTGTGAAAAACCAAATAAATTATAAACTTAAAACAGCAGATTTTAGTCTGCTTGCGATATTCAATGGAGCTTTTGGGAAAATTTTGCTTAGTTTTTTATGCTATGATGTTGTTTTTTTTTTGTTTTTGTTTTTTAATCAATTTTTAGCGCCTAAATTTATGTTTTTGTTTTCTTTTGATTAAGTGTATGTGTTTAATTTTGTTGTTATGCCTAAAAATTTACAAAAGTTTTATGTAATTATTTAATTTTATCGTATGTTTCGTTTTGTATTTGTTTTTGTTTTTTTTTTTTTGCTTTTTTTTTGTTTTTGCATTTATCACAGCGACATTCAGTCTAAATTTTGCTTTTATTGGAATTATAGCATAATTTGCCATAATTGATATAAATATTTATAGTAGATATTCATTTTAGTTAACTAAAACTAAACATAATTTTGATTTAAAGCCAAAAGGTGTTTGTTTTGTGTTCGTTCGTTTTTGTTTTGTTTTCTTCTTTCGATTTTCATTTAAAGCCAAAAATAATTGTTTAAAATTTCGTCTAAAAAGGCCTAAAAGTATATAGCTTAGTGTTAATTTTGGTAATACTTATAGCAAATCATGCTGTTCTTGAATTAACTTGGTCTAATTCCAATAAAAGCCTTCATATTGGATATCATAGAAATGTATGTTGTTCTTGTTGTTGTTGTTCTGTTTGCCACATGCAATTTGTTGTGTCTCAATGTGCCTAAAAAGTGTTTTTTTAAAATTTTGACTAACCTTCTTTCACAGGTGTTTAATAAAATTTTTACAATGCCAAACAATTTCTCATCATTTTCAATCCATTTCTTTTGCCATTACTATTTTTTAAACTATTTATAAAACTTTTGCACATGTTTTCGTTAAATTTTCTTTGCCAAAAAAGATGACTATTTACAATTTCATTAGCCCAATAATTGCCGAAAAGTGTTTGTATTAAACTGAGCCTATCACAAAAATCAGACGCCTTGCCCAAGCCGAAAAACGTATATATATTTTTTTTTGTAAGTGTATGTTGTGTAAATGCCAAAAAATGTTTCAAGAGTCAAAGGTTACTCCATAAACAGATTCGAAATTATATTATATAAATATATATAATTATTTGTTGGTTTATTAAAAATGATTAAATAATAGATGCAAACATAATTTTAAAAACTAAAACAGTAAAAACAAATCAATTTCGTAATTTGATTTCGAATTGAAACTTAACATTAACATTAAGAAATAAAAATTGCATACATATAGCATACATACATATATATATATAGCATTAAATAATGAGTAGATTACTTGCAAATGGGGGATTGCTAAATTATAATTAATTTCTGTTCATTTGTTGTTATAGGAAACATATTCTATTAGATTAGTAACAATTATAAATGCTTTGACGGTACATTGGAAAATTTGATAAGAAACTAAATTTGTTGTTTTCAGTTTTATATCCACACAGATACAGATGGAGAAATACAGAATATTAGATTTGTGAACGTTTGGATAGTACGTAGAAGTTCGAGTGTTTTTTTTTTTTTTGTAAGTGCATATCTGACTATTGTTCATTAATGTATGGCACCTGAAGAGTCACATCTGGATAACCTTTTGCTATTTTTATAAACATTTTGTGTGTCGGATTTGGTGGGTGGGGATGGGTCGGGGTTTTGCCTATGTGTGGACATAATTGGACATATTACATTTAAATGTGTATTGCTAGTTACTAAAATAAAATAAAACTCAACATAAATTACACACAAACAATTAGGGTAGACAACAAATGTTTGTTTCCAATAAATTTACAACTTAAAATACAAATTGTATAATTGTTTAAATATAAATTGCATGTTCGAATTTTTTAGTTGTAATCTTCTTTTTTTTTGTTGCTTTTTAATTATAATAAAAAAATCACATCTCAATAAAAATAAGCAAGTTTTCGCTAGCTTGTGATACGAGTAACTCCCAAGGTAAACTAATAGGGTTTTATGTGTACATAATCATAATAAACTATATAAATAAAATCCTTTATATTATTTCAATTCAGTTGTCTGAAGATCAATTCAAATGAATATTCAAATATTACAAGCAAAATTATATATTTATATATAAATCATATAAGTTAGCTGCTGTCTTCTTGCCAAACGATATAAACATAATTTGCTCAGCGCAACGTCGACGCCTTTTTAACCCCCCCCCAATCCCCTTCTCGCTAGCTGCCCCATACAAATCTCCCACTCTCGTTCTCTATCCCTCGATCCTCTCTCTCTCTCTCCTTGTCGCACTCTCACCAACTATCCTAACAGTACGCCTAGAAATCGTATAACTCGTGTTGTGTGTTAATGAACCTTCTTTATAAATATGTTATATTTTTATGATAGTTTTTAAAAGTAAAAATCCTAAAACGAAATTTTATAGAAAAAGGAATCGTATAACGTTGTGTTTTGGTTAATCTACGCAAAGTTCTTGAACCAAATGGTCCACATTTTTTTTTACCATTTTGCATTTGATGTTTATGGTTGTGTGTGTGTGTGTGTGTGTGTGAGTGTGTACGTGTGTGTGTGTCAAAGGAGTTTAGAGTCCTTTTCGAAAAGACTAGTACTCGTCTGTTCATGCTTCGTTCTGTGTCTGACCAAAACTGTGTTTTGACTCTTTTTTAAAAACTAGGAGAATTTCGTGTTGTCGCATTTTAAACTAAAGAACTTATCCAGAACTATCATGAAAACCTATTAAATAGCGTGAATATTTTTTTGTTTTATTTTCTGCCTCAATTTCGCAACTTTTCCGATTCTCCTGCGAAAACGTGCGGCTGGAAAATTCATCTTTTTTTTTGTGTTTTTTTTTTTTTCAAATATTTTAGCATACTCAAAATGTGGGCGTGGCTGGAGCATTGTTTTCGTTTTTGCTATGCTTTGTTGCTGCCGGTGCTGCCGTTGGATGACGTGAAGAGCTGGTTCACTGATGACATCATAGAGATCCGAATATCGAGTGTATGTGTGGGTGTATGGGTATTGCATGCGACAGGGTCGCAGACGGCGGCGCGGGCACAACGCCATTGGGCGTGGCCGCCAGCGCATGTCCTGCATGCGGATGCGGCGGATGCGCCGATGGCGGCGGCGGCGGCGGCAGCGTTATGGACAATGTCACCGTCTGCGGCGCTGCCACCGTCGAGGCGTGTGTGGATGTGGGCGGGGCTGTTGCGGCACCCGTTGCCGTGATATGATGCGCACTTGTCGGCGGCGCTGGCGGCGGGGCAAGATGCGTTGTTGTTGTTGCCGCCACCGATTGCTGTTGCTGTTGCTGCTGTTGCTGCTGCTGCTGTTGCTGCTGCTGTTGTTGTTGTTGCGCTCCAGCTGCTCCAGTGGTGGGATGTCACTGGGCCACCACGGAGGTGGCCGCATTCTGTTGCACCACAACGCCCGGCGCCACCGCATTCGCCACGGTGACGGTCACGGGCGGCGTGGGGCCATTTGCATGGGCTGCGCTCGGCTGCTGCTGCTGCTGCTGCTGCTGGGCATGGAAGGGATGCTGGAAAGGCGGGCCGTAGCACTGCGGAAAGTATAGCTCATTCTTGACCACCGATTGCTGGGCAACCGCTGCAGCGGCCGCCGCATTGGCCGCCATGCTGCGCACGGGCAATATGTTGGCCTTGTTGTCCACCGTGGCGGGATTGTTGTTGTTGAGGAACTGCTGCGCCACCAGGCTCTTGGCATCGTTCATCAGGTGATTGGCGACCACAGCGACTGAGGCGGCCGCATTGTTCTGCTGCTGCTGCTGTTGCTGCTGCTGCTGCTGCTGGACCTGTTGCTGCTGCTGCTGTTGCTGTTGTTGCTGCTGCACCTGTTGCTGCTGCTGCTGTTGCTGCTGGCGCCGCACCTTGGTGCTGTTGGGATTCATGTGGTTGTCGATGTGCTTTGTCACCTCGTTCTCGGTGGCAAAGCGTCGCCGGCAGTTGGGCATGGGGCAGCAAAACGGACGATCTCCCTGAGAAATCAAAGAAATTGAATTCAATTAAGACCTGTCTTCCATTTGCCGCTGGCGGGCGCCTCATGTGTGTGTGAGCTTCGGCTAGGCTACAACTACCTGGTGGGTTCGCGTATGCTGGTCCAGAATCGCCTTCTGTCTAAAGTCCTTGCCACACTGCCCGCACTTGTACGGCTTCTCCCCGGTGTGAATGCGCAAGTGCTGTGGAAGAATAACAATCAGAACAGTTCCACATGACATACATCGAGGAGAGAGGAGTTTCAAGTAGGCATCGATTCCAATTTGCATGCTAAATATATATTTATATCCAAAGGTCTATCGATTCGATTCAATTTTGATTTTCTGCCAATTGAAACCTCCTTATTCCTACTGAGGGAGCCTCGATTCCTGCGGTGGAATAGTCCTTGGAACCGAACCCACCTGATTCAGAATGGTTCGCTGGCGGAAGAAGCGCGGACAGTACATGCAGCCGAAGGGCTTCTCGTTCGTGTGAATCCTCAGATGCTGGGTGAGATGCGATTGCTGACGGAAGCGCTTGCCGCACTCCGGACAGGGATACGGCCTAGATTCGATGTGTATGCAGCCGTGCTGGAGCAGCGTCGTCTTCTGCTTGAACTCCTTGTCGCAGATGGGACACCGCACGTAGAGCGGCATATTCGCCGGCCGTACGCCAATATGTTGCAGCACCTCGGGCAGTATCTTTTGACCTGCTAGAAGCTCCAATTAAAAGGCTGCGCACGGTGGAGCAAGAGTGGCCAGCTCGTCTACTCACCCTTGCCATCCTTAAAGTACGAGGGATAGTGCATGCCACCGCTGCCATCGGGTGTGCCCTGGGAGTCATCGTCATGGTAGCCACCGCCGGCGACGGCAATGTCGCCCTTCGTGTCCGCCTCCTCGCCCGGAAAGGGCACGTCCGAGGGCCAGAGCGTCGGATGCGGTCCGTTCTTGAAAATGAGATGAGGCGAGACATCTGCAGGAGGGACGTGTTGTTCCGCAGCCGGGTGAATATGAAAGTAATCAAGCCAGAGAGTGCCACTGTTAGCAGCGCTTAAATTTGGCTCGTAGCCACTTTCGAGCTTATCACATAGGTCGCCTAGCATCTTGTACTAAACTAGAGATGTACTAGCTTTTAATATTTGCTTTTTTTTTCGTTTTTTTTTTTTTTAATAATTTTGTTTTTGTTCTGTTCACTTTTGTAAAGTTGTTGACTGTTTGAGACCCCTAAATGGAATGCTCTTTTTTAGTAACTATTTTTTTTTTTATTAATATTCCAGACATTTGCACGATTTTGTAATTTTCTGATCGATATGTCAGAGATTGCTTGGGTTTTATATATTTTTGGTTTATGTGGAGTGTTGGGAGTTGTTAAACTCCAGAAATCTGAAGATGCTGTAAGCGCATATTACATTCGAATTCTTCAGATACATATCCCCACTCAAGTTCCAGATATCCGTTAAGCAACTTGATTATCCGTTTGGAAATTCAATTTGTATTTAGTTACTTTGAAAATAGTTTCCGACAAAGTTTCTTTGCCATTTTTATAGCTACTTATTTCAATTGAGGGTATTCTGCTGGCGATCCACATTCTTTTCCTACTCCACTATCGGACATGCACTTCCACTTTTGCTCTCGTCATTCCATTTTGAGAGACCCTCAAGAAGCCAACAACTTGAATTTGGAATAATTTAAAATAAGTTAAACAAAAAAAACAAATAAATAAATAAATTCGAATTTCGGCCAAAAGATCGCTCAATTTGCTTTTGTGTTTTAGAATTTTGCAAGGGATTTGCATTGCTGCAAACGCTGTTAGCCAAACGTTTGCGAATCTGACGATCCGCGCTAGCACTACGAGAGCCGGAGCTAGCAAATGGGTCGGGTAGCTGGTTTGCCTTGCGGCCCTAACTATCGGGCGGATGTCGCCCATCGTAATCGGTAATGGATGTGTTAACTGTCGCTCGCCTTGGTGGGTGCGCACATGCTGATTGAGGATGGCCTTCTGGCGAAAGTGCTTGCCGCACTCGGGGCAGGCGAAGGGCTTCTCACCCGAATGGATGCGTATGTGCTGGTTGAGTATGGCGCGCTGCCGGAAGCTGCGCGAGCAGTACGGGCAGGTGAATGGCTTTTCGTTTGCGTGGATGCGCAGGTGTTGCGTCAGATGGGATTGCTGGCGGAACCGCTTGCCGCACTCGGAGCACGGAAATGGACGGGCGTCCGTGTGTATCCGATCGTGCTGCAGCAGTGTGCTCTTCTGCTTGAAGTCCTTGCCGCAGGTCAGGCACTTGAACAGTCGCAGATCGCTGTGCGGCTTGTTCTTGTGCGGGCGTCCCGGTCCCGTGCGTCCGCCCGGCGTCCCCGTGGCGCCCGCAGCGCCGGCTGCCACCCCATTGGCCGCCGCACCACTCTCATTGGCATTGCCATTCGCCGGGCCACCATTCTGGTTGCCGCCGTTCGGTGGTGCCCCATTCTGCTGCTGTTGCTGCTGCTGCTGCTGCTGCTGTTGCTGCTGTCCCGGCAGCAGCTCGGGCAGCGCATACGCCTCGCCCCCGTTCTGCTCCAGCTTGTTGAGATAGTGCAGCGGCGGAAAGCCAGGTGGCGCCAGCATGCCGCCCTGCGGCGCTCCATGGCGCGGCGCATAGTAGTCGGGCGTCTGGAAGCCATTGCTGGGATCACCTTGCGGCTGTCCACCGCCATTCTGCTGCACGTGCGGATTCCCCTGCCCAGCCTCGCCGGCGTTCGCCGGCGCGTGCTGCGGCTCGTTGCTGCTTTGGTTTGGATTTGGCGCGGAGTTCTGTTGATTGGCAAGCTGCAAGTGAAGAGCCGGCCAAATTGCGATAGATTAGTTCAATATTCCGGAATATAATTGAGTTATGAGAGTTTGGGTTACACGAGACATGACTATAATCAGGGCTGCAATTCCGAATTATTTTTTACCAAATCCTGGTAGTAGAGAGTTGGTTCGCATCGTAAGCTGAAGCAGCGACAATTTTGTTTATTTTTCTTTTAATTTTTAGTCCTGATTATAGTTAATAATATTTGTATCGTGTCTTTGTGATGTGTGTGGATATGAGTGTGTGCTCCTTGTGCAAATAAAGACATGAATATTGATGTAGGATGATGAATGAATGCATATTGATTCAGCGTGAAGTGTGCGTGAGGAGTAAATGAACGAGTGTAGAGATAATTAAGCTGCTTATCCTCAGCCCGACTCTCATACGACATCCAGATTGGCCCCACTGGGAGCTGCTCACCTGATTCATGGCATCATCGTCGGCGTTGCCATTCGCTCGCTGCTGCTGCTGCACCGACGGATACGGACTGGAGGATGGCGACACCTGCTGCTGGCGTCCATCGCCGCTGCCATTGTCCCGCGGCTCCTGGCCGCCCGGCGGACTCTGCGGCTGGCCCGCCGCCGCCGCAGCTGCTGCTGCCTGCGCAGCGACTGTTGCGTTCTGCTGCTGCTGCTGCTGCTGCTGTTGCTGCTGTTGTTGCTGTTGCTGCTGCTGTTGCTGCTGGGCGTTGAGATGTTGCTGGGCCTGTTGCTGGATGTTTGGATACATTTCGCTGCCCCATTGGGCTGCACTGGCGCCAATGGCGCCGGCATTGCGTTCCGCGTCCTGCGAGTCCTTGTAGAGAACGTACGGCTGGCCCGTGTCCTGCGTGATGCAGTACATTATCTGGCGGGGAACCTTCAGGCCTGCCGCTATGCAGGCCGCAAAGGAGGCCGAGAAATTTATGGCCATTTTGTGTTAGTTCTTGTTCTTGTTCTGCTTCTTCTTCTTCTTCTTCGCCTTCTTACTGTTTGGGTATTTTTGTTGCTGTTGTTGTAGATAGTTGTACGCAGCGTCCTTTTTGGCTGCACAGCGATTATCCTGTGCTGCTCTTGCACTTAATTTAAGCTTTACGCTTCTTTGTCGTTGGCCTTTGTTTTTATTGACTCGTGTTGCACATTTTTGCAGGTTTTTTTTTTTTTTGTTTGGTTTTGAGTTTTTTGTTTTTGTTTATTTTACTGCTTCATTTGTTTCTTTTGAAAGCTCGCATTTTATTATCATTTGAAGTTCCTTTCTTCTTATTTAGTTTTGTCTTATTTAGTTTTGTTCAATTTGTTCGTTTTCTTCTTGTTTTGATTGAAATTATATTAAAACTTTGCTCTTTAGCCTTTGCTTCTTTCTTATTGACTTCAATGAGTACCCAAAAAACATGTCATTTTCACATGATTATTCGAAATAACTGACTGAAATGTAATTTCTTGCGCATTGGCTTTCAACAACTAACAGTTATTAACTCTTTCTGGTACAGCTGCAAGAAAGTCAAAATCACCTATTTAAGACTTGTTAAGACATTGAATTTAATTGAAAGTTGTCATTCGATTTTAAGTTTTATGTATTATTGAATAAAACACGACGAAATTAGGATTTGGTTGGCTTGTAATTCTCAACTAGTTAAAGCATAACACAGTAAAAGTTGTTGACAAAACCAGAGTCGATAGCAAAGTCTGATGATCCTGAATTTAATTTAATTTAGTCAAAACTTATCTTTCCATTAAGGCCTTATGAAAATAAACAGCCAATAAAATGTTTAATTTTTAACTTGAAACACACTTTTTAGAAATAAATGAAAAAACTATTGAAAAGCATCAAAAATGCGACGCAAATTAAAAACAATGAAGATCATCAGCGGCTGATTGAGAGGAGTGCCGCACAAATGGATACCGCATGCCAACCAGGCTGGCACAACTCCCCCCTTCCTTTATGTCTATCCCCCAGAGCCCCTTCTAAGCCACCCGCTGCCCGCCATTCCCATTAACGCTAACCAGTCGCTGCTCCCACACCCCCAATCGCAGGCGACTCGCCGCTGGCTGGCCACATGTTGTGCCTCCTTTTGTTGTCATGAGCTGCCTTTGGCTGGCCCTGGCTCTGGCTCTGGCTGTGGGTCTGCTTCCAACTCTGACTCTTGAGTCTTTTATCTTTTTGCAATGTTCTTTTTACTCAGTTTTTTTTACCATATTTTTCTCATTTTTTTTTGCTGCCTCACGACGACGTGCCAACTTTTTAATGCGGGATCAAGGTCTCGGCAGATACACACACACACACACACACGACGTCGCCGAGCGGGACGCCGCCCAGTTCGTGGCCTGTTGTCCTAAGCGTACAGATCCATTAACAATATACAAGTAAAGTGGCATAGGAACATGTGGCCATAGTTAAGCATAGACATGAGCTGCTCAGTTATGGCTCTCATCATTTGCCAATCTTCAGACAGGCAATAGGCGAAACTTCGGCAAAGCTGAGTAATTTGGCTTGACGGAGCTTCAAAGAATCTGATTAACTTGTTGAATCCATTTGACACTAGGTTAAAGTACCAAACAATTAGGCAATGGATTAATTTAAGTTGTGTTAAGCCAATTTATTGTTTCTTTACTCATAATAACCAGCACACATAGTTGGCTATTTCAAGAACCATCTGATGATATATTTATATATGATATATCAGCTGAGTTTGAGTAATCTCTTTTGTATCGATTCTAGAGCTATAAGAAAGCCACAATACATCTATTAGTTATAAATTATACAGTTAGTTATTATAAGTAACTACTAGTTAGTATTACTAACAAACAAAGTAAATCTTGATCAAGAATAAAGAATGAGTCCTATCTCTAACTAATTCAAGAACCTGCCCGTTATATGCTCAGCAAATTTTCTGTAGACTCTAGATGTGCAAGGTCTTATCCTTAGTCCCAAGCTATAACCACTTGAGAATTATAAACATCGAAAAGGTGATAAGCCTAGGCAAAGCAAAGCCAAAACAAAATAACAACGCTTTTTATCAACAGAAGACTGGGCAATAGTTTTTTGTGTAGATTATCTAGGAATATGAAATTGTTTACAAGGATTGTGTTATTTATCTTAATTTTGTAAATATGAATGCATAAATATTTTGTTATTCATCTGAGTGTCTGCACAATTGTTGTTTATTGAACAATTTTAAGAATTATTCAAGTTAAGTAAAGTCACAAGGTAAAGTTCGCCTGTTTCGTGTTAACTAAATTGGTTAAAGTGAAAACTGAAAACTGTGAAAAGCAATCGATATCGTTGCCAAATGACAAAATGAATTGGAAAAATTAAATTGAAAACGCATTGCGTGCCCGCAGCAACTATAAACTAAAGCAAAGGCAACAGCAACAACAATTACAAGAGCAACAACAATTACAAGAAGCTGGCGCTACCGCATCGAATCGCAACGCAACGCAACGCAACGCAACGCAACGCAACGCAACGCATCGCATCGAGTTAAGATTCGAGCATGAGTATGTATGAGTGTGTGGTTGTGAGTGTGCGAGTGCCAGTTCGATTCGTTTGAGGCGAGAGAACTAAACTACCTTGAACCCGTAAATGAACGCGTCGCGCTAGCCAACCGACTGCCAGATACGATACCTCAACAGAGAACAGTCTGGCATGGAACGGCGCCCGAGCAGGGACCGACACTCTGACTGCCGGAGCGGGCGGACTGTGGGGTAGCTGCGGGCTGTGAGGTGCGGGGTGTACTGCTGCAGTCAGTCAGTCAGTCGCTGGCAATGCAGTTGCACTTCGTGCCGTCCCAGTCCCAGTCGCTGTTGCTGTTGCTATTTGTGAATTATTGCGCTCCATTGGCAGCGCGACAGCGTTTGCAATTTATGCGTTCGTTGCCGCTGCAATTGCCCCGCCTGCCCGCGCTATCCCTCCGTCACAGTCGCAGCCGCAGTCCCAGTCCCAGTCGCAGTTGCAGTTGCAGTTGCAGTTCCAGTCACACTATCTATCTACAAGCACGGCATGTTTGTTTTATTTTCTCGCTCCCTCGCCCCACACACTCTGGCCGCCTTTCTTCTTGCGCTCCTCTTACAAATGTAATGAGCAGTTTATTTTTAAATGCGTGCGGCCATTTAAATGAGTGTTAGCAGATTCGTTGGAAAGACGATCGTAAATGCTGAGCAGATGATCTCTAACGACAGGCAGCTAGAATTAATCACATTAGCAGTAAAAGCTGGTTAAAGAGTTTCATTAGTTAACTTAACTAACTTAACTTTCGAGTGCACTTGGTTTAATTTCCAATTCCTCTTTGTGCGGCTATCCTTAAAGGTTTATCTGGCCCAACATCTTTGCTGCTTGCCTCACCTAGTTACAGTTGCTTAACATAACAGAACATAACATAAAGCAATTATGTTAATAAAATAACATTAAAAAAATGCACATATTTAACAGATTTCTTGTTGAAACCAATTTCAAACGAAATCAAATTTAATATCCCATGGCAATGGGAACAAGAGCCCACACACTGAACATTAAAGTGCATTCAGGATTGTTTCTCTACAAATTTGAAAGGTTCAGCCAAGCAAATCGAAATGTACGCTTTGTAGCAGCAGACAAACTCCACCTACTTTACACCTGACGGGCGAGGCACAATGGACACGCAGTGTGGCGGCAGCAAAAGATACTAGCTAAAGATACAAGATACAAGCTAAAGATACAAGATACTCATATAAATGCACATGAAGCAGATACAATGAGGCGAGAGATGGATGCCAGATATTATTGGCCATAAACGCCGCCTGTCATTGGCTGAAACATTGCTGGCCCACACGCCATTGAAATTGAAATAGAAATAGAAAAAGAGGCAAGAAACTAGAGTAGAAATCGTAGGGGGGCGTCAACGTGGACGTTGACAACTTTCACTGCCGGCGAAGCGTGCACAGAAATTGGCAAGAAATTCGCCAAGCTTTAAGAAACCAAAAAGTGGAGCATACGAAAAATAGGATATATATTTATCTAATAATTTTACAATTCATATGCGGTGTATTATAAATGCAGCAAAAGGTAGATACGCGTTATCACAAGAAATTAAATAGTTTACAGCTTTCTGCCTTTTCATTAAGCAAAGAAATGTACAGAGTATTAGTCTTATAGAGTTTTATAGAAAGCGCGCCATTTACTTGCAGTTCTTAACAGCATTTATGTTATATAGAGCCCTGTTAATTAACATATGTTTATCGACTGACTCTGTTTAGCAGTTCGAAGCCAGTTAAAATGGTTTTCATATCATAAAACACTTGGCAAACACACACAATCCACTCCATTTGCAAATATTTAAACTAGCTCCAAAGTGATTCAGCACTTCCTTCAATTACCCGCTCCACTCCCATTCGATCTCCAACAAATTTAACTTTCAAATTGATTTACAACTTCAATTTATATGTAGTCAATTTTTAGAACTAAAAGCCAACGCACACACACACACACGCTCACGGGCCTATCTCTATATTCTATTTATCTGGCAGAGCAAAAAAAAAAAAACGTAGCAGAAGCAGAAAACACGACACAACAACAATTTGGTTTCAAGGTTAGGGTATACAAAATAGCAAAAACAACAACAACCACAAAAAAAAAATGGCAAACTTTTTGCGCCAACAACAAAAACGAGCGCCAAAAATTTAACGTAATTTGTGCAGTCGTCTAATTCAATACATAAAAGCTTCCCCCCAGCCAGAGAGCGAGAGCTTATGGGAGAGCAAGGGGAGAGATGCACAAAGGGGGAAGAGAGATTGAGAGAGCGAGAGAGAGAGAGAGAGAGAGGGAGAGCGCGCGCTCACATAAACTACAGGTAAAGCACAATTGTTAGATACGCCGCACGACCAACAAAAAAGAGTCGAAACAAATGTGAGTCATGGAAAGGCGTCCAATTTTTATTGTTTCTTCTTTTTAACCAATTTTCTGTTTTGGAAACTCTTTGCGAAAAGCAAAGGGTTTTAGGTAGAAGTACTCCGCAAATACACCCAGGCAATGGGTTTTATGGGATTATCACAAAATTTGTGTTTGGCAAGCTGCAGATACAACAGCTTTGGGCCCGGACTAGCTGTGCATGTTTGAGCACGGCTTGTTTTAGGCAATTCTAATTCTGCTGTTGTAATCAATGCACTTTGGCAATATTCAACAGCTTAAACAAATCATATATAACATACCCATCAAACATATTAGGATTCTAATTCCATCCACAATGGACAAGTGAAGAAAAAATAATGCAAAACAAATAACTATTGCTCTTCTATTTAGCTATGTGAATAGATACGCTGTATATGTAAATAAATAAAAATATATATAAAAATACATATACAAATATGATCTATAATAAATATTAAGAATATAGAGAATTGTAAGCCATGACAGCTTGAGTATATATATAATATTTCCCGCTAGTCGTCTTTTCTTAAATGTATCTTAAATAGTTTCAAGCGTAAACTCAATTGCTTATCGAAATATAATAGATTTCCTATGCATCGTCTTTTCTTAAATGTATCTCAAATAGTTCCAAGTGTTAGCTAATTTTCATATTGCCCAGCTAGGTTAGGGCATTTGGTGCTCGTTATGTTTCGCGCTATTTTTTCTCAGCTCGCATTCTATGTAAATATCTATACATTTAATTAACGCGTCGAATTTTCGAACTCGACGTTCGGCGACAAACAAAAAACGACAAAAAAAAAAAAAAGGAAAAAAAAATAATGCTGTGGCCGGCTACAATTCGAACTGAGATCTCGTGTGATGATAGATGGGGTCTCGATTGGATGGCAGTTCCACACGCCACACATGCATTAGACTATTGCCAATGTATCTGTTAGATACACAACACACACAGACACACAGACACACAGACGCACACACACACACACACACGCACACAGTGTAACACTTGGGGCTCACAATTAAGTGATTTTGCTTGTTTTGTTGTTGAACATTTTGTGGATTTTAGTTTTTTGTGCGAAAAATTTGTTGGTTTTTTTTTCTTTTTTTTTTGGTTTGCGTATAATTCATCATATTCCTTTATGGCCTGACATTCGCATACAGCATTTGTAGATACGCACCAGCACAGATTATACGCCCGCCCCTCCCTCCCTCACACACTCAAACACACACACACACACACACACACCCAAAATAAACGAATTTAGCCCCAGGGGGAATTTCGCAAAAAAAAAAAAAAAGAAGTGGAAAAAAAATCGCAAATGATTTGTGGCAAATTTTTTGTTTCTTTATTTGCTTTTAGTTTTTGCGTATTTCGCTTTGCTCTTGCTGCTTGTTGTTGCTGCTCATTAGTGCCGTTTTCTATGTGTGTGTGTGTGTGTGTGTGTGTGTGACTTCTCTCCGCATCCCCTCTGCTGCCCCCGCGTCTACACCTACTCCTGACTCTTTGCATTTTGTCAACTTGATTTACGCGCAAAACATTTTCGGCTGTGCGAATTTTCGTTGTTCATTTTTTTTTTTTATTAATACTTGATTTCCTTTTAATTTGAGTTACGGTCCAGCAAGTTTTGGTTATATTAATTTTAATTCACATTTCACTCACCTGTTTTCCACAATTGTTGTGTTCTTAAGTTTTCCCGAAAGAAATATCCCAAATGTTTATTAAGTTTTAGCTGATTTTTAATGCTGAAAAGAAAGAGAAACAAATTTGAAAAGTTAATAAATATATTAGGAAGATTTGTTAACGAATAATTAAAATTAATTGAAGCAATTATTTTTGGTTGAAATTTGAGCCTGACTTCGAGTAAGTCTAAGAGAAACTCAACTAAAAGTTGTCTAAAGTTTGTGACTTTAAACTGGCTTTGCTTTAAAACTAAGAAGTATCTAAAGTATGTTATCTCTTATCATTCGGACTATTCTAGGCTAAAGACTGTTAGACAGAAAACGATGCGATCTGCTTGTATTTTGCATTTTCAGAATATCGAATGCATTTCAAGTGGAAATACTTGAGAGCCTTAAGTTTGAAATGCCGTTTGAAGTAGGTATTTGCCCACAGGTAGAGCTGGTGAAAGGAGCAACGCCCCAATAAAGCTAGAGTTAACAGAGTGCATTAAAATCCACTTTAAGTTCAAATTAACTAATTGACAGGCCATAAAGGCAACTTGGTCGACATTTAACCGCCACGAAACACCCAACCCAAAAAACTATAAAACCAAACAAATAACTATTTTCGGGTTTCAGCCGGCAACAACAACAACAGCAGCAACAACAACAGCAACAACATCGGCAACAAGAACGATAACAACGATAACTTTGTGTGTCGCATAAACAAAAATACAAACGAAATTCGGACGCAGGCGAATGCATATTTAGGATAACAAGGGAGTAGGGGGGTGGAGTTTTTGGGGCGGACTGTATAACAGCTATATTAGCGCGAGTATACATAAAAATAAATGCATATGTATGCGTGTGGGTGTGTGTGTGTGTGTGTGTGGCTAACACTAACCTCAAAAAGTTTATTGCGCGCAGTTGCAGCGGCGTGTAGACAAAAAATTGCAAATTGCAGCGGCGTTTGCCTCACACAGACACATACACACACACACACACAGAGGCACACACACAATCAAGCAAAGTCACACAGAGAGCAGCGAGAGACACTAATACACTTAGGCAATTGCACGTGCTCACAGTGGCTCACACACACACACACACACACACACACACACACACACAGGGAGAGTTAGAGATGCAGACACCCCCGCGTACCGTTGTTGCCACAGCTACATCAAATTTTTATGCACACACACACACACACACACACGCACGCACACTCGCACACGTTTTTTTAGCTGCAGTTGCAGTTGCAAAATGCTGCAAACGTTGACAAAATTTGTAGCTTATGTGCACTAAATAGTTTTAAATCGAAATGTTTTGTTGTTGTTGTTGTTGTTGTAGCTCTTGGCGGTTTATCGAAAGCTGCAGCTGCTGCTCCGTTAGCCTGGCTTCCTGGCGTTGCGTATACGCCGCGTGTCTCGCACACAGATGCACAATTCGTTTGTTTATACGAAATTCTGTTTGTTGTTTCGTTATTTATTTTTTTTTTTTATTTTTGTTTGCGTGTTTATATTTTCTTCGTTTTTTTTTTTTTTTATATTCTTTTCTCAGCTTGCGACTACATTTTGTTTTTAGTTATTTTATTGCTGGCTATTTCCACGCAGTCGACGCTCTATAATACAAGTACTCGGGTACTCTCTATATATAAACCGTGTGCAGCTTTTTATTAGATGCCGACGTCGTCGTCGTTGGCGGTCGACGACTGCAAGCGGCAGCGGCACAAAAATCGAACAAAATGCCCAAAAAAAAAAAAAAAAAATCGTAAGTACAACAAACCGAATCTGAATCCGAAACCAAAGCGAGGCGAAACGAAACGAAAAGAAACTCAGCGCAAGGCGCAGCGGAGCGACGTTGTCGTTTCTTTTTATTATATTTATTTTTTTGGTTTTTTCTTTTTTTTTTTTTTGTCTGTTTTTGTGGGAGCGGAGCGCGCGCCAACTTTTAGCTATGGCTATGGCCACGGGTCTGGGGGTCTCTGGTCTCGCCGCCAACTACAAATATAATGTCTACACACAAAAAAAGCAAAACCAGCGAGCAGCGAGTAACGAGCGACTCTCTCACACTCTCTCTCTCTCTCAACGCACACAATCACCTTACTCACACTCACACACACAGAGAGGCGCTCTCTAAGCTTTTTTAGTCAAAACAATTGCAAAATTTTTTAACTTTTTGCCGGCGGCTCGAACCCCGGCCTCCAGCTGTGTGCTTGTGTGTGTGCGAGGCACAAGCTTGTAAGTGTTAGTGCAGTCGCTGCCAAAGCTCTCTCAGCTCACGCTCTCGCCGCGCAACATCAGCATTACGCTCTCCTCTCAGCTTATGGCGCTCTGTTGTCGATTTTCTAATGTTGCGGCCCCATGCCGCTGTTACGGCGACGCCAATGCTAACGCTGACTGCGCTGCCAGCGCAGCTGTTTTTAGCGCGTGCTGCTGCTGCTGCCGCTGCCGCTGCTGCACTTCGTGTGCGCTTTCGTTTGCTCCGTTTGATTGTGTGTGTGCGTGTGTGTGTGTGTATAAAACTTTTTCTCTCTTTTAGTTGCTTAATACGTCTGCTACTATTTGGGTTCTACGATTAATGCGCAGTTAAGACCGAAAAAGCGTACTGAAAATGACAGCTGCTGCTATTTCGGGAAAGGGCAGCTGATAGGATTAAAGCAACTACAAACAACTATAAAACATATGGCAGCTTTCAGCTAAGATCGCGTTATATTGTTTTTCAGATTGATCGGCGATCTTTTTATCTATAGCTAAGATTGGGTTGCAGAGCTACATCCTTCTATTCTTATGTACTATGATATAATTGATGGCTGATCGACCCATTAAAACTCTCTGTTCTCTGATCTGCTGGCCATCTCCCTCCCACTCCACTGACCGATATCTTAGCTGCAATTCGACCTCAAGACTCGCTGACCAATCTCTCAATCGGCCCACACACTCAACCGTTTAGGCAATCAGTTAAGAACGACACCCACAATGGCCAACACTCAGCTAAAAAACGGCTCAAAACGAAAACCCTCTATCTTTATACTCCCCCCAGCCACTAGCCCGGCCACGCCCACCGTGCCGGAATTGTGGCAACGCCCACTCAGTCAGTCACTTATCGTGACCGAAGAACAGAAATTTGCAATTGTTCATTTGATTTCGTTGTTTTCCGGGTTGACGAAAACGTTGAGCCGCAGGGGTAAGGCGGGGCTATTCAATTCAGAGGGGTGCGGGCTAGATTGACAGGTGCCGCGATGGGCGGGGCCGGGGAAAGACACATGTACAATATAAAGTAAATTATTGTATGATGTGTATGCAATATTTTATAAATAAACAACCAATTTTTTTGTATAAACAATCAAAAAACAACAAGAGAGGCACCCGAAAGCAACAACAACAACAACAACAACAACAATGCCAAATAAGTACAAAACATGTTGAGCGTGCACGAAGGTAGAGGAAGGAGGGGGGGAGGGGGGAGCTACATGTAGATATGTGGTTATCCAGATATACATAGGTCACAATTTGCTGCCAGATATGTAAAATATTAAAAAATAATATAAAAAGCAACAAAAAACAAAAAAAAAAATAAACTAAATTATCTACAACAACTGCTGACAACGTCTCGTCGTGTCTTTTCTGCCGTTTTTGCATGTTGTTTACTTTCGTTTCGTTTTTTTATTTTATTTTTATTTCAATTTTTGGCAACGTTGCAAAAACAACAACAACAAAAGCACGCAGAACGACAAGTTTAAATGTGATTTCAAGACATAGGCAAAAAATTAAATGAATTTAAGTAAGAACTGACTTCCCTAGACCCGACTGCTAAATGCTCTAGCATGCATATATAATAACTGTTAGTCAGTATAGACTGACAGACTGATGTACTGACTGATTGGCAGACTGACCTATTGCCTGATCGACTGGCTGACTGACTAACTGACTGACAGACTGTTTGACTGACTGACTGATTGACTAATTGACTGATTGACTGATTGACTGACTGATTGACAGACTGATTAAGTGACTGATTGACTGACTGATAGGCCGACTTAGTGGCATACGGACTGACTGACAGAGAGTCTAACCGACTAACTGATGACTGACTGACTAAATGAATGACAGACTGACTGTCAGACTGATTGACTGATTGAGTGACTGGTTGAGTGACTGATTGACTGACTGATTGAGTGACTGATTGACTGACTGATAGGCCGACTTGGTGGCATACGGACTGACTGACAGAGTGTGTAACTGACTAACTGATGACTGACTGACTGACTGACTGACTGATTGATTGACCGACTGACTGCTTGATAAACTCACTGTAAAACAGACGCACTGTGTGCCAGACTGATTGGATGTTCAATGCATATGCCAAACAGTGAAATCTAGGAAATCTTCCACGCGTAATTGCGGAAACTGCGTGGAAAACAGCTGTACCACATTTTGCTTAAAATTCGCATTTGCGAACTTTGCATTTCAGCGTAAAGTTCATTTTTAAAGCTCTACATTATTCAAGCACAAATTAAGTGTATCAACGAACCGAAACCGAATGGCGCGCAAAACTTTGACTGCAATCAACTGCAAACTCATTTAGAAATATCTATGCAATATATAATTTGATACGCAGGGTTCAAGGTAAGTACGATTAGAATAGGGTGGCAGAAATAATATCCAATATTTCAACTAAAAGATGTGCCTGTGCAAAGCCGGGCTATATCCGTTAGTATTAAACAATATTTGGCTAACAATCCATAAATTTCATGTTATTGAAACTAGTTAGATATTGAGAACGGGAGTGCGCGACTAGTGAATACCCTGGTATATAAGGGACTAAACTGCTCTCATCTTAATGCCGCAAACATCGCATTCTGCGTTGCATATTTGATAGTTGATACCACCCGGTGCAAGGGTTTGTAAACTTAGTCAAAGAAAAAGAAAAAACATTTTCAGAAAGTTGTCTTAAAATAAACGCATCCTCAAGATACACAACTAGCAAGTTTCTATTGTGTTCGGCATTATAAGATGCAAACTATGCTTAATTTTAGAATTTGTTGGCAACACTTCTAGTTATGTCTGCTAAATGTATAT